GTCGAACCTCTCCAGGTTGAAAGTTGGCATCTTGTGCATCTTCGGATTGCCGTCCGCGTTCGTCGACTGCAGCTTCTGGACCTCGGTCTTCAATGTATGCAGCTGACTGCTGATGGTGGTGGTCGGCGCAGCGAAGGTGCTGATGTCGCCGAGCATTGCGACTACGTGGTCAACGCGGTCCTCCAGTTGGCGGCTTGAGGGTGCACTGCTGGAAGCTCCAGCAGCTGGTCCTGGTCCTGCCTGTTCCAGGTCCAACAATCGGGCATTGAGTGCCCGAGTTGCATCCTCGTGGCTCTGCACTGTGCGGCGGGGCGTCGCCAATTCATGATGCTGTCTCTCCAACCCTGACCTTTGGTAGTTGCAAGCATACAACAACTGCGTCACGAGTTTGGAGAGGAACTCCTTGTGCTTCTCTTCCGGTGTTGCGTCGTCGCCGTTCGGTTGAAAATGCCAGTACTTGAGTCTGTCGATGCTGTTGGCTTCATGCCGCTGCAGCAGATCCTGGGCTTCCTTTCGGCGAGCCTGGGCATCTGCTTCTGCATCGGCCTGTAGCCGCAGTTTCTYTGCTGCTGCTGCCTCTTCAGCTTGTATGCGGGCAGCCTCGACTGCCAGCAGGCGTTGTTCCTCAGCCTCTATCTGAGCCAGGCAACGCTGCTTGTAGGCGGCAATGGTCTCATTGACCAGTTGGCCTGGCAGGCCCGTCATGTTGCTGACGTGGCAATGCTGCTTACGTGGCAATGCTGATGTGGCACTGCGTCTGACGTGGTACTGCTGACGTGGCACTGCTGACGTGGCAGTGTTGAATGTCACTGCTGACGTGGCACTGTGTCTGCCAGACGTGGCAATGTGACCTGGCACTGCGGACGTGGCACTGCTGATCTGGCACTGCGGACGTGGCACTGCTGATCTGGCACTGTGACGTGGCACTGCTGACGTGGTACTGTGACTTGGCACTGTGACGTGGCACTGTGACGTGGCACTGCTGACGTGGCACTGTACCGAAACGGGATGCATGCAAGGGGTGGGTGGGAGGGAAGACGGAGGGAGGTAACCAACCCAACAATGCTTTCCTCCGGCCCTAATCAACAGATAAAATAAACAAATAAAAAATAAAAGAGGACTATTTCCTTTTTTTTTTTTTTAATATATATCTGTCAATTTATGATGAGTAGGGTATGTCAGAAGAGTATAATGAACGAGATCTAGGCTACTTGCCACAAAGTTTTGGCTTTTACAAACTGCGATCTTGAAAAAATTTTGCGAAATGGAGTACAGATGCGATTTTCAGAAAAGAACGAAATCCAGTTTCTGATAATATAGCAACCTCCGAATATGCCTAACGCAATATTGGTAGGCTTCGCAAGATTCGGTTTTCAAAAAAAATTTTGGGAGATAGAATGGAAATGCGATTTTCAGAAAAGAATAGTTTCAGTTTCCGAGAATATGACCACTTCTATCGTTATCCCAATATGCCTAGAGAACGAAAATACTAACTTCAGAAATTTCAGCTATGTATGCGAAATATCAGA